TATTAATTTTTATTTATTTCATATAGTTTTTGATTTCTTGATAGTAAATATTTTGTAATTTAGTTACAATTTTTTCTTATTCTATTTGTTTGTTTTATATGCTTAATTGTTGCATTATACACATATTAATGTTTATATTATTCTCTTTAGATTTTTATTATAAAAAAGTAATCATTAAAGATAGCCACATGTGAACTATATGATGTTACATGTTAGACAAGTTTTATTTGCAATTAGCAATTTGGCATGTCGTTTTTTTATTTGTAAATAATTTTACTATTTAATTTAGTTATTATTAGCATTAAAAAATTGTTAAAATTGTTATAATTTTATTTTAATTTATTTCTAAAATATTTTGTTTTATTACTTTAAATGTAATACTTATTGGTTCAACTTATGTTTAACTTTTAGGTTTTTCTCTGTTTTAAACCAGTTAAGTTAAGACTTTAGGTCAATAATTTTTATTAGAAAATATATAAATAGTCTTATAAAGTTTATATTGATAATTAGAAATGCACATATTATGTTTTTCCATTTTAGATTAGTATAACAAAAAATTAATCAAATCAACTTTTATCAAACATAGTTTCTTAGTTATGTCAAATAACTTGAGAGCTGAAATAAGAAGAAATCGTCGGAATGAGAGAAATGAGGCTAGGCGAGAAGAACTTAATCGTCGCCAAAATGAAAGAAATGAGGCAAGGCGAGAAGAAATTAATCTTCGCCAAAATGAAAGAAATGAGGCAAGGCGAGAAGAAATTAATCTTCGCCAAAATGAAAGAAATCAGGCTAGGCGAGAAGAAATTAATCGTCGCCAAAATGAAAGAAATCAGGCTAGGAGAGTATTACATAGACGTGGAATGCATTGCATAGCAAGAAATAATGTTTTTATAGTGAGTAATTACCTTGGAGAAAGGAACCATATTTGTCAATATTGTGGTGCCAAAAAATTTTTAAATGAAACACATTTTCTGTGCTGCCATTCTGGAAAAGTTGCGTTAGCTCCACTTTCGCCTTATCCACTGCTCATGCACAATTTAATGACAGGCAACCATGTTGATCGTGCTATGAATCAAAATTTCTTCAAGCATATTCGAAGTTATAATGCCTGTTTATCTTTTGCTTCATTCACAGCAAGAATAGCTCCTCCGTCTGATCATGGGCCACCCTGTTTTAGGATTTGCGGACAAATTGTGCATCGTGTTGGTAATCTGAGACCTGATCAAAATGTTCTGACTGCATATTGTCAGTTATATGTTTATGATCCTAATACTGCTTTAAATTTTCGAATGGAGCAAAATGATTGTTGCATACGTGAGTTGATGGAATTTTTGCAGACTATAATTAGTCAAGAGAACCCATTTGCTCTTGCATTTAAAAACATGGCTGAAATTGAAGATGAAGAAGTACGTCAAGCAGCTTTAGAAGGTCGACCAACTTCGATTGTTAAAATGTCATTGCTTGAAGGTGGTGATAGACGTCGATACAATCTTCCTTCACATGAGGAAGTTGCCATTGTTTTTGTTGGGGATGATGGTGCTCCACCTCCATCTAGGGAAGTAGTTATATACCCTCGAGGTCAGGCCTTAAAAACAATTTCAAGTATGTCTGCAAATCTAGATCCAATGATATATCCAATATTTTTTCCAAGAGGTGATGCTGGATGGCATGAGCAACTAGAGCATCATCCTGACCGAGCTACACGTGTTAGAAATCGGGTTACTTTGTCTCAGTACTACAATTACAGGCTTTCTGTTAGAGAAACCTTTAATCCTATATTTTATGGTAAGAAGCTTTTTCAACAGTATGCTGTTGATGCATATGTCAAGATTGAAGGTCAGCGCCTTGCTTTTATTAGAAATAACCAAAACAGACTTAGAAGTGAACAATATGATACATTATATGAACATGTAAATAACGCTGCAAATAACCTTAATGTAAGACCAGGTCGTGTTGTTATACTACCATCCTCATATGTTGGAAGTCCAAGAGCTTTAAAAGAAAATTTTGAAGATGCAATGGCAATTATAAAGAGATATGGCAAACCAGATCTTTTTATTACTTTTACCTGCAATCCAAAATGGAAAGAAATTACAGAAAATTTAAATTCAGGTTAGAGCCCATCTGACAGACCTGATTTAGTTTGTCGTGTATTTAAGATGAAACTTAAATGCTTCCTAGATGATATTTTTAAACACGGAGTCTTAGGTAAAGTTATAAGTCATGTACAGGTTATTGAGTTTCAAAAACGTGGTTTGCCACATGTACATATTTTATTGCACTTTGTAAATGATGATAAGCTAGAAACAGCAGAGGATATTGATAGTCTAATATCAGCTGAAATTCCAGATCAAACTGTTGATCCTGAACTTTTTGAAATTATAAAAACATGTATGATTCACGGACCATGTGGAATTTTGAATCCCAATTCTTCTTGCATGAAAGATGGGATTTGCACAAAAAAGTTTCCTAAAGAATTTAATCCTCACACTGTTGCAACTTTCAATGGCTATCCTCACTACAGGCGTTTAGATAATGGTAGAGTAGTCGTTATAAAAGGTAACCAAGTTGATAATCGATGGGTTGTACCCTACAACCCTTGGTTATCTAAAAAATACCAAGCACATATTAATGTTGAAGCTTGCATGTCTATTAAGTCAGTTAAGTATTTATATAAATATGTCTATAAGGGGCATGATTGTGCTCATGTGTTAATTAATGAAAGTCTTGACCATGATGAAATTAACACATATTTAGATTGTCGCTTTGTTTCTGCACCAGAGGCTCTTTGGCGAATATTTGAGTATTCCATAAGTTATATGTCACATACTATTATCCGCCTTCAAGTCCACCTTCCTGATAATCAGAGGGTATATTTTAACGAAGGAGAAGAACGAGTAGCTATAGATCGTGCTGCACAGCGTGACACTCACCTAACCGCTTGGTTTAAATTAAATGCTGAGATAAATGAAGCACGTCAGTATTCTTATGTTGAAATTCCATATCACTTTGTTTTTGATGGTAAAAATTGCAAGTGGAAAGTAAGACAAAGAGGCAGTGATAAGGTGATTGTGCGAATGTATAAAGTCAATCTAACCAGTGAAGTATTTTTTCTTAGATTGTTGCTTTTGCATGTAAAAGGTGCAATGTCTTTTGAGGATTTGCGTACTATTCATGGCACTGCTTTTAATACATTTCGTGAAGCATGTTATCGATTAGGTCTATTGCAAGATGACATTGAATGGAGAAATACATTAACTGAAGCTGTAGCAACTCGAATGCCTAAACAAATTAGGCAACTGTTTTCCATTATATTGACTTTATGTGAACCTGATGATCCTTTACACCTTTGGAATACATTTAAAGATTATATGATTGAGGATTACATACACCATTCAATGCCAGTTGTACTTGCTGAACAGACTGCTCTTCGTCAAATTGAATCTATAATTAATCAGAGTGGTAAAACTTTAACTGATTATAACTTGCCTACATTAGATCAGTTATTAGATAATGTCCTAGAAAATGATGATGGAGATATTCAGGTATTTATTGATGAAGCAAATCGAGTTAGACCATTATTAAACGATAATTAGCGTAATGTAGCTGATGCAATCCTTGCTGCACTTAGTGAAGAACCTAATAATGAAAATAAGCATTCAAGATTTTTCTTTATGGATGGGCCTGCCGGTTGTGGTAAAACATTTACTTACAATTATTTAATTGCTGAAACACGCAGCAGGCATATTAGAACTGCAACAGCTGCATGGACAGGAATAGCTGCAACTCTTCTTAAGAATGGATGCACATTGCACGGCTTATTCAAACTTCCTGTTCCAATTTTGGAAACTAGCACATGTAATGTAACTCCAAACTCCATTCATGGTAGATTCCTGAGACAAGTTAGTTTATATTTACTCGATGAAGCATCTATGATACCCAAACATGCTTTGAGTGCCATTGATAAGTTATTACAAGATATTTGTAATAATAAGTTTCCTTTTGGTGGTAAAGTTATTCTTATGGGTGGAGATTTTCGACAAATACTTCCAGTTGTGAAGAGAGGTCGACCAGCAGATGTTGTAGAATCATGTATAAAGTGTTCTGAACATTGGCAATATGTGCAAAGGTTTTCATTAACTGAAAATATGAGGGTTCAGATAGGAGAAGAGGAATTTTCTCAATGGCTTTTAAAGCTTGGAAGTGGAACATTACCTGTCAAGCCTGAAGATCCTTTGCAAGGGTGTATTGAAATACCTGAGCAGTGTTTTCTCAATGATAATGAATCTATTGTGGAAAAGATTTTTGGTGGTGCAGAAGAAGCTGATTATGCAAAACGTGCTATTTTAACACCAACAAATGTTGATTCATTGGCAATAAATGAAGAAGTCCTTCATCGATTACCGGGTGATGTTAAAACTTATTTAAGTTCAGATAGCATTGAAACTGATGATCATAATGAAATTTATAATTTTCCAGTTGAGTTTTTAAATACTTTGACTCCATCAGGTATGCCTGTTCATTGCCTAAAGTTGAAAATTGGTGCTGTTATAATGCTACTTAGAAATTTAGATCTCAAAGGTGGACTTTGTAATGGAACACGTTTGATGGTGCGTGCACTACACAACAATTACATTGATGGTGAGGTTCTAACAGGTGTATCAGCTGGTAACAGGGTATTTGTTCCTCGAGTTCAATTAGCTCCATCAGATTCAAATTTACCTTTTACACTTAAACGTCGTCAATTTCCAGTTAGGTTAGCATACTCAATGACCATAAATAAAAGTCAAGGTCAAACATTTGATAAAGTTGGTGTTTATCTCAAAAAGCCTTGCTTTTCACACGGCCAATTATATGTTGCATGTTCAAGAACAAAATCTTTTAATAGTTTGTTTTTTAAAGTTGATAAACATGCATTACAAGGTATGTCATTTAACAAATATTACACAAATAATGTTGTGTTTACAAATGTTCTTAATTTATAATTTTGACAAGTTTGTTTATGTTTTTTTTCTTTGCTATATATGTTTATATATGTGAATATATGTTTTTACTTATATATAGATGTTTGTGTTTGTATATGTTTGTTTATATGTGTTTAAGTTTATATTATGTTGTTTCCATGTTTGAAAAGTGGTGTTACTTGGCAACGTGTAGTGCAAGATTGTGATCCTTGCCAGCCAAGTGGTGTTACTAATTAGTGGTGTTACTTGGCACTTAATGCCAAGCGGTGTTACTAAATTGTGGTGTTACTTGGCAGCGTTTAGTGCCAAGCGGTGTTACAAGTGTTGAACTAGGTTGTGTTGTCTAGCTTTTTTAATTATTTTGGAAACACATAGTATCTGAATACATTGTGTAATGTGTACTTACAAATGTCATATGTTGTGTATTATTCAGTAGCGTAGGCAGGATTTTTTGATGCTTCAGGTTTTACTTTTATTTTCAGACTCTTTCATTACTTTCAGACTCTTTCATTACTTTCAGACTCTTTTATTACTTTTATTACTTTCAGACTCTTTAATTACTTTCAAACTCTTTCATTACTTTCAGACTCTTTTATTACTTTCATTACTTTCAGACTATTTCATTACTTTCAGACTATTTACTTTCAAACTCTTTCATTACTTTCAGACTCTTTCAACTAAACTTAATTGTGTTCATGTTTGTCAAATTCAAATAATTTGTAAAATATGGATGTGGTTGGGGCTTGAAAACAAATATGTTTTAAAAAGGTTTGCTTTCCTCCATTGAATTTAGCTGCCAATTAGTTAAAAAAGTATTTTTTTTAAGCATATAATAATAATCTTATTCATTAACAGGTTTTAAATTTCTTATAAAACAACAAAAGTCCTGTCTACACCACTGGTGTTTTTGTTTGTCATTGTGTAATGTTTCTGTTGTGATGTTTTGTGTTGATAGACAGCTTGGCTTACCTTCACGCTGGTGTCTATCGTTAAAAATGATTATTAGCTAGCTTCACTACTGAAACTACTCCTTCTAATCATTCACTAAAAGCCAAGAAATATTTTTTTGAATAAATGCCTAATTTTTTTATCTCACTGTGACTTTTTATCTTTAGCATTGTTGATAAAATAGCTTTTTAAATAAAGAGTGTTTCCAGCCTTCCAATCAAATACTAGAGAATTCCACAAAAGCGATCTCACAAAGTAAGTTTCTTATTTAGTGTTTGATAATTGACTAAGTTTCGTCACCTTTTATATATTTTTTTACATCTTATTATGTAATTTTTCAACATTTAGACAACTTTTAAATAACTTTAAACAACTTTTATATGTGTATTCAGTGTTTTATATAACAATATTTTTCTTCATTTTATAGGTAGATTTCCTGTTATAACTGGTTTAAAAATTGTTAATCGTTAATCATTTTTTAAAAGCGTTTACTTTTTCTAAAGACGTATTACTAATACCATTAGTAATACGTCTATTCATACATTATCAAAAATACTTTATCAAATGTATATTCATACCATTTACTAAATGCTATCTTCTCTATATATTATTGCCGAACTTAATAGTGTTAGTAGCGCTCTTTCGAGCGTGTTTGACAAACCCATGGCAACTATTGCAACCAAAGTAATGGCGAGGAAGAGTCTCAGCACTTTTTGATAAATAAACGTAAACAAAAGTGTATGCAAATATCTAACTTACGTAAACTTCAAAATATGAAATGTTAAAACATACAAAAACATGTCAAGTTTTACAGTTTTACTTTCACTTAAAAACAGCATTGCGGCAACGTCTCTTTAATTTTGATCGATTTACAAAGTCTTTTATTTATTATATATTTTTGAAATTTTCGTCAAAATGCCGTGGTTAGCCTTACGTAAACTTTTATTTATTATAATTTTAAATTTGTTATTTGTCATGTTATTTTAAGTCGTATTAGCGCAAAGAAATTGGGTATATAACATGTAAATATTTAGAACTATAAAGTTGTTTTGTTTTGCATTTTAAATAACAATAATTTTATTAAAAAAAGCAAGCTGATGATTTGAACTTGCCACGCGGCGACCTTGAATTTTTTTAAAACAGTGAGGGGGTTTTAAAAAAAAACATTCTTATTTAAAAAAACTTTAAAAATCTTAAATTTATTTTTAAAATAAATTATTTTATTGAACTTATTATTTTTCAAAATAATAAAACGTTAAAACTATTTAATTTAAAATAATAAAAATATTTAGAAATTTACAGTTACTTATTTACGCCCCCGTTAAATATTCTAAACCGAGTGCGCAACTATGACAGATTTTAGAAAACCAATAAAATTGTAAGATACTCTGTTTAATATTGGAAGAGTCTACTCGGATGCTATAAACTAATGGACTCTATTATGTTTCTTTTTGTAATGTTTTTCTAACGGTTAACAAATAAAAGCAAAGCGGAGATACATCAACTGAGCGTTTAGGTTTGGGCAGGCATTCTTTTAAATTAAAGAAAAGAGTTTTGATACTTATTTAAATAGGGTTAATAAAATATTTTAAATTATATATATTATATTTAAAAAATTATAAAACTAAATTACATATGATTTTTAGATGAAACAGTAAAAATAATTGTTTAAAATACGTGCGTGCAAATAATTCCTACCAATACTAAACGTAAAAAAACGCTTACAAACACCAAAAGTATATTTACCGTGAATAAAATTAAGTTCAAAGAAAAATTGGAAGAAATGTTTAAAACTGTTTCAATAATAACATTTATTTTTAATTATTTTTGTTGTAAGTTGGGATGAAAAAAAAGGTCACTGGAATATGAACTCCCGGGGTGAGATGACTATATCTGTCTAAGTGCAACACTTAGACAGATATAGTCATCTCGGCTACCAATTAGCCCATAAACGTATTCTCTATTTAGAATTTGAGATAATTTATGACGCATAAGAAGTATAATTAAAAATTCAAAACCAAGTTTGGAACAACTGAATTTAAAAAAAATCTAATTAGATGTGTATATGTTATGAACGTTAACTAAGGCGTACTTTAACGGCATCACGTGCTGAATGTTTTAGCATTTTTCAAAGTTCGTAGTCTTTTTTACGTTTTTTCTTATTAAAATCTTTATAATCGGCATAATATTAAAAGCGTTTAAAGTTTTTTAAAGAACATTATAACGTTATATAATGAAATTTTTTTGTCATATCAAAAAGTAAGTATAGTTTTTTATATGTACATAGTTTTTAAAACGGTTTTAAAAAAATATTGAGGTAAGGAATAAGTATAGAAAAGGTTGGTGTGGAATAGATTTACTAAGACCCTTATTTTACGTCCTGATAGCTATAGAAATGATCAGATAAGTATAAAAATGGTCGGTTCGGTAAAGACCCGTATTTTACGGGTCCGCCCAGCTAGTATAAAAAAATACTCATAGACAACGTGCTACTTTTTCTAATTTTTGGTCATTAAATACGCATTTAGTCGTTTATTAAAAAGAAATTATTATAAAAGTAACTTAAAGTACTTAATGCAATCATTAAAATAAAATAAAAAAAACCTCACAAAATGAATAAAATGTAATTTCAGCAATAGCTACTTTAGTTTGTTTTGTTTATTATTTTCAAATCACTTTTAAAAAATTTTTGAACGTAGGATTTCATTATTTTTTACTTTTTCAGAGAGATGAATTTTTTATCTTTTTAGGAATGTTTACTAATATTAGTATTCAATTTTTTTTCAAGATCAAAATATATTTTTTCAACAATAACTTTTCGTAAGCTGTTGCTAGGCTACTCTAAAGTCTGATTACATAATTACATTGATTTTATATATATATATATATATATATATATATATATATATATATATATATATATATATATATATATATATATATATATATATATATATATATATATATATTAATTTTAAAAATAAAGCAGTAAGCATCAACTTTTAACGTATGAAAAAAAAAAATCAAAATAGTATAGTGGGTGTTATAAAGTTACATATAATTAGGAATACAAAATAAATTATATATATATATATATATATATATATATATATATATATATATATATGTATATATATATATATATATATATATATATATATATATATATATATATATATATATATATATATATATATATATATATATATATATATATATATATATATATATATATATATATATATATATATGTATATATATATATATATATATATATATATATATATATATATATATATATTAATTTTAAAAATAAAGCAGTAAGCATCAACTTTTAACGTATAAAAAAAAATCAAAATAATATAGTGGGTGTTATAAAGTTACATACAATTAGGAATACAAAATAAATTTTAAACAGCATGTCAATTAAATAGTAAACACGATACTTATTGTTCAGTACTAACAAAATATTGAAAAAGTTAAACAGTTTTTAAAACAATTTTAATTAAACAGGATATATAAAAAGATTATATTATAATTTAAAGCCAGTGGTGTGTATATATATATATACAGTGTGTGTAATACATTACACACACTATAATGTATTACATCATATACTATGATTGGACATGTATTATTTTTTTCAGAGTTTGATTTGTAAGCGTTAAATGTGTGTGTATACAATTTTTGTAATTGTGTTGTAATACAATATTTATAACATGCACATTAATTTATTGCATACAAATTGTGTATAATATATGGTTAAATGATTATAATATATTATATTGCAACCCTCGCAATTAGAAAAAATGAGGTCGGCAAATTATTGCCGACCTCATTTTTTGGACCTCGATTTATGGCAACAAATCAAAACTTCAAATTCTTTTCCTACAAAATGTCATGTTATCTTAAATCGAAGAACGGTCACAGATATATAATTACAACATTAGTAGGGGATTTCAAAATAAACTCCTTTGATTATTATGAAAATCAAAGTTCGAGAAAGTTTTTAAATGGTTCATTTGAGTTGTTAAAATGTTATCATTGTTAATTGATAACATTTTAACAACTGATTTTTTTAATAAGTC